CATTCACTCAGTGCTTACTGAGTACTCATTAGACTCTAAACAGTGTGCTGTTCCTTTCCAGAAATCCTTAGTGAAAATAAACTTGGAGTGTGTGCAGAAGGAAGGGAATAGGGTCCAGGTGCCCCCCACCCCTTCCTGGGCCTGGGTTGCCAATAAGGGGGTGAACTTGGTTACCTTTGTGAACTTGCTCAAGCCGTGACATTCTGGGAGTCAAAGAGCTCCCAACCCATGGCCAGCTGGACAGAGAAGGGGGTCTTAGGACACTGGCATTGCACTTGGCTTTGGTGAGCCTGTGCTCTGCTCCCTGGTGCAGGCCACCTGTCCAGAGCTAGATGGATGCTCCGTGGGACTGTGCAGTGTATCAGGCAAACCCATCACTCCAGTCAGGCTCAGAGATGGATGAAAGTCCAGCCAATCCACTGTGACAGAGACCCCTGGGATTGTTACCCTCACCTACCCTCCCAAGCCATATTCTTTCTGAGTGTTTCAGGGCGGCCATCACGAAGCACCCAAAACGGAGTGGCTTAAAACAATGGTAATGTATGCTCTCATAGTTCGGTGGCTAGAAGTCGGAACTTGCAGTGCTGGCAAGGGCCACGTTCTCTCTGAAAGCTGTAGAGGAGAATCCTTCCTCGTCTCTTCCAGCTTCCGGTGGTTTGCTGGCAACATTTGGGATTTCTTGGGCTTACAGCTACGTGATTCCAATCTTTGCCTTTCTTGTCACACGGTTCTCCCCGTGCGTCTCTGTCTGGGCACAGCTGTCTTCTTATAAGGACATCAGTCATATTGGATTAGGGCTTCGTCCTACTCCAGTATGGCCTCATCTTAACTACTTACACCTGCAACAGCCCTATCCCCAAAGACAGTTGCATTTTGGGGTACTGGAGGTTAGGACCTCAACGTGTCTCTTTTTGGAAGGCAGCCCACAACGCCTCCCTACCACCTCCCGCAAGGAGCCTCTCAGCCTCTCCGGTGGGCATTGGCGTTGACCGCGGTGCTTGGCCTTCAAATGTGTTGAGCTCAGTTGCTGGAGATTTTCCTCTCCTGCTTTCCTCCCCCAACTATTTATCAGAAGATTAATGTATTCCAGGAATGGTGCCAAGTCCTGGTACCCAAAACAGTAAACAAAACAGATGGTGGAAAGGCTGTCATTACGTCACCCTGGCCCATGGGTCCTAGGTCCCCTCTGAGGCCACACAGAACACCCTGGCCACACCTTGCCTGTGACCCTGTAGATATCTGAAGATAGGCATGGGTTCCCCCCAAACTCCTTTGGTTTGAACAACTTTGATTCCTTTACTTCTTCCTCTTGATAGGGTGACTGTATATGTTATGGACCAAACTGAGACATTTTGGAGAGTGAGAGTGAGTGCTATTACTAATTACACCGAGGCAACATGCGTAAACCAGCAACGTCCCGGGCCGACCACAACATATGGTCACCTCATGGGGCATGGGTTTCCAGGTCCTTCCTCACCCCTGGTTGCTCTCTTCTGGGTGTTTTGTAGTCTGTCTCCTTTTAAATCATTGCTCCCAGAAGTAACTGCCATATGCGTCTGGCATAGTGGAAAAAAACCAGATAGGCGGGGGGATCATTTTAATAAATGTGCCGAACACCGTGACACAGGCAGGAGAGAGGTATTTGGAGAATCCAGAGGAAGAAACAATTAACTCTTTCTGACAAAGCTCGGGACGGCTTCCCACAGGAGCTGATATCTGAAATGGTTCTTTGAGGGTGAGTAGATTTTCCCATCGGGAGAGCGGTACGAGTCCTTGGGAAGGGCATCTTCGTCATGCCTCAAGGTCGAGGAAGAGCGGGGTTCGGGGCTTACCTGTTGCTGATAGAGGATCATGTTACCCTTCCTGGAGCCCTGTGAGGTCTTAGCTGATGCTAGCTCTACTCCGGGCTAACGCTAGAATATAATGGGAAGGACGCACTTGTCCCGGCTGCCGGTAGTGGAATCCTACTTCTTTCTGATTGTCTGGTTTGCTCCAAGGAAGAACAGGCAAACTACAGGCAGAATTTGGCAAACGAAGCATGAGCAACTTGCTCCAGGAACCCCTGCACTTCTAGGCCCCCATAGGAGTGAGTCATTTATAAGCACTTGCTGAGAATAAGCTTCCTTGATGGGTCGGCCTGGTCTCTGGGGAGGCGAAGATCACACATGGTCCCTGCTCTCAAAGCGGTCCTTCTAGGGAGCAAGGCGCATGCATGCAATGAGACACAGGCCATTGCAAAATATTTAAGAACCGTCACACACCTTTATAAATTCGTCGTGCGTTTTGTGAACACAGGGAAAGTTTTGAGTAATTCAGTCGGGATACAGTTGGCTTTCACTGAAGAACTTTGAGGGCTTTGATGGCCAAGTCAACCTGCAGAACTAGAGAAGGGGTAGCCCAGAGGTGTGAACACACAGGAATCGTGTAAGGTCAGGACAGCCTTTTTGGCTCTTGTGGAGTGGGGGTGGGGAGAGGGGGGCGGGGCAGGGGTCCTCAGAGCTGCTGGAATACAGGCCACCGTCATGCCTGGCCATCCATCCACACACCTGCCTTCCCTCTGGCCAAGGTCTAGACACCAGTCCGCTGACTGTCCTGGGCAGACGGGAGGGCAGCGAGGAACAAGGTGGATCACAGAAGCCCCCAGGGTCAAACACATCCCAGCACTTCTGGCTAAGCTTCTCCCACGCCCTCAGGAGGCTGGCTTTTTCGCAGCTGCCGAGGGCTCCATCCTCCAAGGTGCGGAGTGGCGGTTCTCTGGGGTGATGACTCACCCTGGAACCAGCCTCCGTCCAGGTCCAGACACTCTCCACAGCCCAGGCGTTTCAAAGGGGCTCATCTTGGACAGACACCGCGACCAGAAGGGTGGGCATCCGCAGTCGCTGGGGGAGAAGGTCAACCGCAGAAAGCGTCCCCAGGCTGTGCCTACCTGCTGCGGTGAGAGGGAAGTTCAGCTGGGAAGCCAAAGTGTGAACCTCTTGGAGCTCAAGCGTCACCTCTTTGGGGAGGCTTTTCCCCAATTCCCTCCTGCAGAGCGAGCCTCTCCTGGGGGCTCCCGGGCTTCTGCTGGGCCGCCTACCTCACGGGACTGTTGGTGACATGTGTCTTCATCCCGTCGGGACTGAAAACACGCCTGAGGCCAGGGGTGCCTTCCTCATTTCTGAACCCCCACCCCTGGCACCCACGGGGGGTCAGCAAATGTGGGTGGCAGGAAAGTGAGGGAAAGAGGAAGGAAGTGCACAAAGAAAGGCATGATAAAATAAAATCCCGCATTCACAGAGAGGAGACATGGGTGGGGAGAGCGAGAAGGGGCTGCATTCTGAGTTGACCTTTGTTCTTGTAGGCTCCGCCCACTCAAAATACTTAATTATTACATTTTACGGCTATGTCGGTATAAGGAAAAATGTAAGCCAGGCACAATTCATTTTTATATATTATTCAGTATTATTATATTCAAGTTTCTTCCCTTCTGATTTTAGTTTTAATTATTTTTTTAACGTTTATTGATTTCTGAGAGACAGACAGACAGAGCATGAGTGGGGGAGGGACAGAGAGAGAGGAAGGCACAGAATTTGAAGCAGGTTCCAGGCTCTGAGTTGTCAGCACAGAGCCTGACAGGGGGCTCGAACGCCTGAACGGTGAGATCATGACCTGAGCCGTAGTTGGATGCTCAACGGATTGAGCCACCCAGGCGCCCCTCCTTTTGATTTTAAAAGACACTATTGTGGGCCCCTTAAAATATAGTGGGTCTCAGGCATAGGACTTACTTGGTCCTAGCAGGTAAGCCATCCATGAGCCATAAACATGGTGGCCAAATACTGATAAGTGGTCTCACCTAGGCACCAGCCAATCAAACCCGACCTTTTGCAGCCTCAAGTCGCTGCAGGCCCCTGTCGTTCTGGAAGAAGGGGCTGAAGTGGCAGCCAAGGGGGCCGCGCTTGGGGGGGCACTGTGACTCCTTACCAACTGGTACAGAAAGACTGAGAGCCACCAGCATCCAGGACAAGTATGCCCTTCCCATTAAGTCCTAGGGTTAGCCCAAAGTAGAGCTAGCATCAGATAAGGCACGGACATTCTGGTGCCTTCTGTAAGCCCTGGGTGGAAGTAGAAATAATAAAAATGGTCACTGCAAAGATACAAGATAAAGAAAGAGGAGGAGGTGAGCCTAACTGCCAGGTTTCTGATCTGGGTCACAAGCGGTACCCTCAGTGAAAGACAGAATTCAGCAGGAGAAGCCGGCTTGAGGGGAAAGATAAGGAGTTCTGTCTGGAACACGTTGGATGTGGTGTATCTCTGAGATTCCAGGAGGCAATGCCTGTGAGCGTCAAATAGGTGGGGGTAGCATTTTTTTGTTTGTTTTTGCTTTTAGGAAATAAGGTCTGGAGCGATCTGGAAGTTTCAGTGGGTGCAGAGTAAGCCCTCAATAAATCTGTCCTAGGCTGAATGAGAACCTCCCCGCCACCCCAATATTTCAGCCCCGGGCTCAGAAGATGATCTGGAGGACCCCACGCAGACTGACATAAAGGGAAAACACAGAACATCCTTTGTCTGATTATGATCGAGGCAGACAACTGCAGGGTATACTTCAGCTCTAAGTACCCAAGGTGTGGGGCCTCTGGCTGTCAGAAGTCAGCACCAAGGGCCAGCAAGAGCTTGTCTTATTGTCTTGTGCCTTGAAGATCTGGGAGGCATAAGAAGAAATTGCATTTTCCAGCCCCTGAAGCAATATTTGTTTTCCCTTCACGTCTATTTCCCTGGGTGTATTTTTTTTTTTACTCTGTTGATAGATATTATATAATCACATTGTTTAAATATTTGAGATGGTGATTACACCACCATTCAATTTTAATTGCTACTTTTGTTAAGGTGTCAGATGTTTTCAAGCAAAATTAATTAGGACCAACCAATTGATGGATGGTCTTGCCAATCCAGACCTTCAGAAACCAACCCGTTTCACACCCAAACACTACAATTGCAGAGTGAATTTGAACCGTAGAACTTACCATCTAAGGGATGTCCTCCCCTAAGGCCACATCACGGGTTGGTCTTACCAATGATGAGTAAAAATGCAAAGCATACGGTGGAGAATCACAGAATTTATTTTTATGCAAAAATCCCTTCTCTAGCAGGTCTGATGCGTCACTCATTTCGTTTTGAATCCTGTAAGTGACAGGCATCTCAGTACCGATCAAGACAGCCGCATCCACCGTTGGCCTGTTGTGATGGTTACGAAATCCTTCCTTACGCTGTACTGGAACGGATTTCGCAGTCACTTGCTCCTGTTGCTTGTACATTTCACTTTCTGAAACAACACAGAAAACTTCACTTCCGATTCTGCTCCCTGTGAGGACATTAGGGTGGAGCTCTCGGGAGTTCTGTAGCTGACTTCTCTTCTCATTGTGGGGCTAGGTCCACAGACTTAAAGGATTTGAGAAATCTCTGAGAAGGAGTTCTGAACAGATTAGTCAGCTGCCATGCCTTCACTTAGACGTCATTTTCGTAAAAGACAGCACACCCTAAAATCTACCTCTGCCCTTGCTCATTTAGGGGGACGGGTGTCAGTGTTTGGAGAAGAGAGTTGACGTGCTATATTGGTGACTCACTTAGAAATCAGGTTGCATGTACAAATATGTATTTATTTGAAAATTTTTATTATATTTACGAGGTTTAATGCAGTCTTTAAGATGGCGTCTGGGAACCTGCGGAGAGGTACTTTTAGAAACAAGTGTGCACTTTGGTCAGACTGAGTCAGACTGTGCTGCTTTAGAAGTTCAGCTCTGCCACTTATTAACAGTGTGACTTTAGGCCTTGGCTTCTTCAGATGGAAAATGGGTATGAAAATCATTAACCTTGCAAAGTTAGAGTGTGGAATAAGTGAGAAAAATCTATCAAGTGCCTGGCATTCAGCTTGGGTTGTATCAGGTGCTCAATAAATGGAATGATTAGGAGTATAGATTCCAGTTTTATTGATTTTTTAAGTGTATTTATTTTTGAGAGAAGGAGAGAGAGAGAATCCAAGCAGGTTCCACACTGTCAGCGCAGAGCCCCCCAGCAGGGCTCAAACTCAAGAACCGTGAGATCATGACCTTAGCCGAAATCAAGAATCGGAAGCTTAACCGACTGAGTCACCCAGGTGCCCCTAGATTCCAATTTTAAATATGAGGAAGAATGTTCAGGGGTGCCTGGGTGGCTCAGTTGGCTAAGCATCCTCAGGGTTCTGAGTTCAAGCCCCTCGTTGGACCCCACATCAGGCATGGAGCCTACTTTAAAAAACAAATGAGAGGACCAACTGGGTGGCTCAGCCAGTTACGTGTCTGACCTTGATTTCAGCTCAGGTCATAATCTCACTGTTCGTGAGATCAAGCCTCGCATTGGGCTTTGCACTGACAGCACGGAGCCTGCTTGGGATTCCCTCTCTCTCCCTCTCTCTCTGCCTCAATCCAACTTGTGCATGCACACCCTCTCTCTCTCTCTCTCAAAATAAATAAATGAAACGTAAAACAAGGATTATTTAAACACTTCTTAATTAAAAATGTGTTTAAATAAGCAATAACCAATCATGATTTTAAAAATCCAGTTTTAATCTCAGCCCCCAACAATTCCACCAGGCAGCCTGGTGTGTGACCTTTCATATAGGCGGATATAAGCACATTTATCAGTATGATGTGATTACTTCACGAATGAGCTAATGTTATACACTGTTCTTCTTTCCTGTCACGCCGCATGATGGACAATAACTCCAGCTCAGTCGTCTTCACAACCACGTATCGTTAGGATAGATTTTTAAAGGGAGGTTTCAGAAGAAATGATGCCCGTGAACCGCGGTGTTTTCTTTGAGTCCATGATCCCAAACAGTTGGATGAAAACAGAAAGATTCAGGTCAACGTCTGATAAATATTTCATCTCTTAAATAGGGCGAAGATCTAGATAGCAGTAAGGAAATACTCCAGAGAAGACAAGTAGGTAATTCTGGATGAGTGGGGATTATTTCGGTAATGTTGAGAATCACGCCGCGATTATATGGCTCTTGGTCATTTATCTTACAGTTGGCACTGATAGCGACCCTCCAAGGACAGAGGGACCCACTGTCCCTACCTTAAGCCTAGAGAAGACTGAGGCTCAAGGAGCCCCACGCTGGGAAACCAGGCCTTGGGAGAAGGCGGAGGACAGGGGGTGTTGGTCTATCTAACAAACGTGATTTTTCTTGACTTGACCCCTCAAAGCCCTCATCAGCAGGAAGACCATTAAAAAAATGCCAAGTGCCCCTTGGGCATCTGACCTTATGTGCTGTGCTGACCTGAAGCTACTCCCTCATTTTGAAAGAAATGCGGATCTAGGACATCAGGCTGCGGGCTGGGACTCCTTTTGATCCAAACACAGCGGTAAGTGGTCCAGGGTTTGGTGAGCACCTCCGAGGTGCCAGCCCCATTATTAGACGTCACCAAATGTGGGACAGTGGAACCTGCACTGGGCTGGCGACTGGGCTTCTGTCCCAACCTGGGCTCATGTACCCCCACCTCCGTCCCTGTGTGGGGGGTGCCGTCGCCCCAGCTGCCTGGGGAGTGGCTGGAGCCCGAGTACTATTCCCTGGCCTGACGCTGGGGCCGCCGGGGCCTCCGTGAGTGCAGAGAAGGGCAGGGGACCTCACTCGCCCCCTAAGCTTACAGACTGAAAATCTTGGCACTCATCCACATGGTTTCAGGGGTGAGTGGAGTGGCATCATCTCAGGCTGACCCGGGGTTTTAACGGAGCAGAATGAGGAAAAGGAGACAAGACACCCCATCTGGAACGGTGGGCGGTGTTTGGGAAGTTTATTGAGGCGTCCAGCTCTGCCCAGCGAGCAGAAGTCTGGTGAGGTGTCGCGGGTAGGAGACGAGGAGACTTTGCCCCTCTGACAGCAGGATGAGGGCCCTGCGGGTCTGGCTGTCCTTGGCTCAGTCCTTGGCCCTGCGGGTGTGGCTGGCCTTGGCAGTGCCGGGAGCAGGGACTGGAAGACCGCCCACAGAGGGGGCAGACACTGTTGTCAGCTAATACGGTGGGCCAGGGAGGGGAGTCGATTGGCAATCACCTTCCCTTCCCTGCAGCCCAGACTGTGAGAAATGAGTATCACGTGGAGAGAAAGACGGCTTCCTTGGGACCCGAAGCAAACTCTGCAGAAAAGGTGACAGCTACCAGGACTCCTGACCTCAGGAGGCACTGGGGACCTCGCTTAGCTCATCTGTCCTCTGGAGGCGGTCCTGAACCTGCAGGCATGCCATTGTGAGGATGTCATAGCCAGTGGCTTCTCTCAGTGATCTCCTCATGAAAAAGTCCACGTCGGGGCACCTGGGTGGCTCAGTCGGTTATGTGTCTGACTCTTGATTTCCGTTCAGGTCATGATCTCCTGGTTCCTGAGATCAAACCCTGCGTTGGGTTCTGTGTTGAGGGCACAGAGCCCGCTTGGGATTCTCTCTCTCTGGCCCTCCCCTACTCACACGTGCTTTCTCTCTGTCAAAATAAGTAAATAAACTTTAAAAAAGAAAACGCATACATTCCTCTGTTGTGGAACTAAATGCACCACAGCCCCAAACCCCTCAAAGGATTGTGGAGACAACGGCAGCTTTTGACAGGAAGAAAGATGGCGTCCAGAAACTTCTGCTGGTTTCAGGAGAGAGTGCTGGGCTTTTGTTATTTGTGTGATTTGATTTCTCTAAAGGAGTGGCATTCAGTCTGGGCTTGAAAATCCTAAAGATGCCCAGAAGTACCTCTAGAGGGAGACAGAAGGAGGCCGAGAAGTTGGGGTTCAGGGTCCTAAACCAACTGCTACAACCAAATTTGAAAACCGCAGGTCTGTTGCCTCACTTTTCCCAAGGACTCTGGCCTTGACCTTCCATGCATGCGTAGCAGAGATCAGTCAGTCTTGCTTTGGGAGAAGAGAGAGAAATTCGTCCACTCATTCCACAAATATTTTTCGAGCACTTTGTTTGTGGCAAGTACGGCCATGCATCATGAAAATCGAAAAGGTCTAATAAGCGCCACCGTCGTCTTTGAGTCGATTGCAAATTTTGTGTCTGTGGCACAGAGAGTTCCTAGGAACAGTAGGAGTGTGGGCTCAGCGACAGGCCTGGGCTTCTCCCTGTGAATAGTTGGAGTCCTCGCAGATCTAGACACACAGATCCAGTTCTCTCCAAGATACCTCTTTCTCTCCAGCTTATTTTCGGTACCTTCAGTTTGTGAGGACTCTTTGGTCCAGCCATGCTTTTTGGGTTTTCTCCCCCCCACACTGTATTGTCCAACTGGTGGCCGTCTTAATCTAATGGGAAGTTTTAACGAGAAGTTTTGCGGCTTTGGTCTTGATATATTTTTTTGCCCTGTTCTTTTTACATAAGTGGCTTCTTGTCTAATAAGAATGCTGTAATATGTAACGAGAACAAGTACAACAAATAATAAGCCTTTGCTATATTAAGGCACTGAGATTTGTGGGTTGTTACTGCAGCATAGCCTCACCCATGCTGATTAATACAAATGCCATCCACACTTATCCCTCGGGCCAAGTCCTGTTTTTCACCCCATGGCTTAAACGTCTCCCAGTTTGTGAAGCCATCTTCCCCTCCCCAGGGTAGGGGCAAAAGCTCGCTCCCCTGTGCACACAATATGTTACAGCACAAAATAAGTTTTCCTGAATTTGTCTATGTCTTTGTCTATCACCCCCACCGGCTTGAGAGCAGAAGTTACAAATCATATATAAATGTTTGTTGATAGACTAAATGAATGTAAGTACAGTGTTCAGAGATTTGCTTCTTCACGTCTAGCACTTTAGTGCTCATTTCTGAGCTGCAAAGAAGCAATCTGTCACTGTGTAAGTGACAAGGTGCAATTGTCAAGCATCTGCCTGACAACTTGGGTTAGGTATGAAAGTTTGAAATCAAGGGGATTAGAAGAGAGAGTTTGTGCGATGTCTTTAGACACTAGCAGCCAGTGCCCTGTGAGCGTTGCCGAACCAGACGGAAACCTTCCTTAGCAAGTGTCAGGGAAAATAGCATAGTCCTCCACATTGAAACAATTTGTTAGCATTTACAAGTTCCCGTTTTTCTGTATTTTAACTTCTAATTGGTTTCCTCTTTTGTGCTAAGAATGCCATCTGTCCCTTTGACAGGTTTTTGGATGTGATGCCACTTACCAGGAAACATGACCATCATAAATATTGTTAAGATGATTCTAGCGTCCATCCCCAACAGCCCTGTCTTAGTAACTCCACACAGGATCCCACACTGTTCCTGGGTAGAGATTTTCCCACTTTTCAAGCACTTGCTATGTTAAAATAAAGCTTTTCGCCCCCACAGTTCCTTGGAGTTCATAATACAATGCAAGGTAGCCTACTTGGTCTTAGTTTGATTGGGGATCTCACATCTGCTCTTTTGCAATAAAAAGGGTATTATTAGCCCTATTAGTG